CTGCTTTAATTGTGCGGATGCAATGTATTCCTGTGTAGTGCCGGGAAATCCGTAAACCATTGTGAAATCACCTTCCTTATAGCCGGAAACATTTATTTTCATGAATACCTTGGGGTTATAAGGTTTGTTGTCCTTGCTATACGCTGCAGGTTTGCCCTGTGCATCAGCATATACGCGGAAGAGGCTGAAGTCGGCATTATGACGTGGCCACATCCAGTTATCGGTATCGCCGCCAAAATTGCCAATGCTATTGGGGGGGAATCCTACAAAGCGCACATCGCGGTAGGTTTCGCTGACAATTGCCCAATATTGGTTGCCCCGGAAATAGGGCTGGATGGTCGCATCCATTTTGGTAATGTACTTATATCCTTTCTCAAGCGCCTTGATCCGGGTGGCAATCACCGAGTCGCGGGTTGCTTCTGCGAGCGTATCTGCGAGGTTGTAAAGGATCTTGTCCGTCACATTTTCCATCTTACGGATAAAGGTTACGGTAAGGCCGGCGCATGGCAGCTCTTCATCCATGTTTTTGGCCCAGAAGCCATTCGCGAAATAGTCGTTGGTAGTACTGCTCAGCTTTTGTGCGCTGCTGTAACCGCAGTGATGGTTGGTGAGCAGGAGGCCTTTGGATGAAATGATCTCACCGGTACAGCCACCGCCAAAGAGCACCACTGCATTGTTGAGCCCGGTGCCATTGGCATTGTAAAGTTGTTCTATCGGGATGCGTAGGCCCATCGCTTTCATGTCGGCCTCGCGGTTTTTAAGGGTTGGAGGTAGCCACATTCCTTCTTTTGCCGAAACAGTAAAAAAACTGCCAACGATAGTGGCAGTCAGCAACGTCTTAGATAAAGAAGTGCGTAGTTTTTTGGTTAAATTCATGCCTTGTATTCTTTTTGGAAAATAAAAATAGTATTTCGCTATAAAAATTTTGAGTGATTGGTTATATTTAGCCCAATATAAAGAGATTTACCTTTTCGACTTATGAGAAAATGCCTACTTCTGGTAGCACTCCTGATATGTGCGCAATGGACTGAATTGGCGGCGCAGAGCCTCTTTGAACTTCCATCCGACACGGTTTGTGTACGTCAGCCAATACAGCTAAAAAACAATGCGTCAGCATCCAGTTATTACTGGGGCTTTTGCTCCGGATACCTGCGTAACCCGGTACAAGTAAGCAGCCTGGGAGGCAGTTTTGGATTAAGTGCGCCCGGCGATATTGAATTAATGAAGGACGGCAATAACTATTACGGCTTCGTTATTAACCGCGGAACCGGCGAGCTGACGCGCCTTAATTATGGTACCAGCCTGGGTAATACACCTACCGTTACCAACCTGGGTAACCTGGAGAATAACATTCCTGCCGTGCCTAATAATCTGTACCTGATGAAGGACGGTGCGAATTACTTTATGTTCCTGACCGGCGGCAGCGGTGCTGCTTCTTCCCTTTCCCGTATCGACTTTGGTGCATCACTGGGCAATGTGCCGAACAGCGTAAGCTTCGGTAATATCGGTGGTCTGCTGGATAACCCAACGGGCATATTTGTAGCCGAAGATGCCGGTAACTATTATGGTTATGTGCTCAACGCCGGCAACAATACATTACTGCGCCTTTCCTTTGCCAGCAATATTTCACTGACACCTACGGTTACAGACCTGGGCACGTTTGGCGGCGAGTTTTCCGGCGCCAGCGATGTGGTTGGCGTACTGGACCATGGCTTCTGGTATCTTTTTGTGACCAACGAAACCTCCAGCACACTGACCCGTGTTGACCTGGGAAATACCCTGGCCAACAACCCGGCTATTGTTCCTTACGGAGACC